TTAAGATCAAACTATAAAAACCCTGCAAAGRACAGTCTCATCAGTCTGTACTTATATTCTACTTCTACAAATTTCTGAATTTCTGAAAATCACTGAACATTTACTCTCACCAGTCCTCYTGGCTTAAATGAAAGAAGCCATGACAACGTATCAGTGATTATATTGGAATTAACTGGCAAACATGCATATAAGCAGAACAGCACTGTTTTTTCAGATGAATCTGGCAAACAGAAAGTTTGCTGAAAAAAGACTGAGAAAGAAAGGGTATCTGGTAGTCACCAAGGCCCATTTAGTATAATTCTTCCCAAATAAACACATCTCAGTATTGTGACTACAGCTTATTTTCTTCTGTCTTTCTTTTGATTTATCTGATGTATATAAAACATTAAAGTTGAAATTATTGCTTTTCTGCAGTGGAGATGTATGTAACATTAATCACTAGTGGTTCTTTTGTACTATCTGCCTTATGAGAAAARTATTTTATAGAAGACTTTTACAGCACTTCTGCCAATTCATATTTCATTGAAATTCTCAGAAATTTGACCCACATCATCGTATTTGAAAATCTTATATAAAACTTCCTCAATTTGTATTTATCTTCTATTTTATTGGTTGAACTGCATCTTTACGACTTTTCAATTAACTTAATAACTGATTTCACCAACTCACTGCTCATTACTTTTTCTCTAAACAATGTTTTTCGATTATCCAGCTATCAGAATGACTTCTAACTAGAAATTTAATCCAACAAGAGGACCGTTATCTAAAAGCCAACAAACTGTAAATATCAACAATTTCTGAGTCAAGTAACAAACGTCCTAAACTATACTATAAATAGCCACAGCCATCTGTCTGATTTGCCCCTTCTCCTCTTTACTTTAACTTGTCTATCTCCAAGGTCACAATCTTACCATGATGCATGCCTGGTTTCACCGCCTGCCTCTTGCAGCAGGAAAGCAGCAGCAAGGGGCAAGATCCCCACCSGTGACCCTCCCCTAGAGAGCAAACATTACTAAATCAGACTTCCATACCCGATCTCAAGTGCTTATCTATTACTTCCATCACATTCCTTCTATTACAGCTGTTTRCTATCATTTAACCACATTTTATCTCATTTCATTATCTCTTTCCCTATCATTTGGGTGGTGGTTTCTTTTTCTTTTGGCACTGTCTTACAACRACTATTTTTAACAAAGCTGTAGAAACACAAGCACATTGTGTCCACCCATTCTCCCTAACTTCCTTGCAAACCTTTTCAAAGAAAAGTTTACCCAGGAACAATAATTTTCATGTAATGTTATCAGGTCCCACCACTCATATGGAGTCTACTACTCTAAAGAAACAAGTTACTAGGTTAGAGGAAATGAAAACTTCAGTAGTGAGGAGCACAAAAGCTAGAAAATTCCTTAGCAGGATGGGTGGYTGTCCATACACGCAGTTACACACAGTATAGCAGTTTGCTGCAATTTAGACCATTTGTGAAATGCAGAGAAATGCCAGAGTCTGCAAACCCACACTTTTGCCAGAAAAATGTTTGTCAGAAGCAAAACTTTCCACAGCAACATATGCATTGCTTGTAAAGACAACATTTCTTGTCAAAACAAAAGCCACACACACCCCTTCTGAGCTCATACAGCCCAGAAAGAGCAGACCTCAACAGCTTTGTTGCTTGCTGGGACAAGGACATGCATCGGCAGCACTCAGCTCTGCGGGGTCCCAGCCCCAGGGAGAGAGTCCCYGTCGCCTCTCCCCTAGGGGTGACAGATGGCTAATTAAAAGGGAAATCACACCCACAACAGTCACTTCCAACCAGTCAGAAGACGTATGGTTCAGGCAAGACACCGATATGGGAGGTAGTCCAACCCCTGCTTGCCCCAAGCAAAGATATGGATTTCAGTGTCCTGCATATGCATTTGATCAACCCCTCTGCTATTTTCAGATGGGCTTGTCCAACACATAATGACAACTCTGAAATGTTTCTGTGTCAGTCCAGAAAAATACAGAATGGAAAAAAACTGAAGTTTAAAACTCTTGCAGTGCAGGAAACCCTGTCTTGTCAACTCTTCCAAGCAGCTGCTAGAAGAACCCAAGAAAAAGAAAATTACTAATTTCTGGAAAGATATTAAAACAGATTATAATGCCATAAAGCACTGTTTGTGAATACTTACATGAGGATTGATAACATTGGTATTTATCCTAGTTCACAGGGCAACACAAAAGTCTATTCTTAGAATAATTTTTCAATCTGCAGATGTCAAAGTTCCATAAACAGAAACCAGGCATTTAAAGTTAAATATGTAACCAGCAGATAAGCATCATGGGGAACCCCATACTAATTTCTTTTTATTCTTATTTGATATACGTARCTTACTAATGAAGCATGCATAGRTATAAGTACTGAAGTCCTCTCTTGCCTTGAATAAGCAAGATTATATAAYAGAGGCAACAATAATTTCAAAAGGTTCAAGAGAAATAATCAAAAAATCAGAATAAACATGAATATTTGAAAAAAGAAAAATGGATAAGCAAAATATAGGCACTATAGGAACAAAAACCCTGAAAAGGCAGTATTAGACCAGTAACTAAGTACAGATTAGCTGCCTAGCCTGCTAGCTCACATATATTATGACTTTGGGTGTGTGTCACCTCAACAAGCACCACAGAATGCCAACAGAAAAGTATTCTACCTGAATATGACATTTAGTTTCACACAATTAATTAGAAGGATAAAAAATAAAAAGAAGCCCAGAGAGGAAGAAAAGGAAGACAGGAAATCACAGGGAGACTGATTTACAAGGTGTTTTTTGGAGAGAAGGTATAGCGAAACTAACCAACAACTACAGAGCAGAAGCCAAGCACAGTAATACTGTGGCATAAAGTATCCCAAGTATTTTAATATCATGGCAGGTAAGGAACCAGAGATAAAAGAAGTCTACATCCAAGAAACTAGATGAATTGCAGGAAAAATTAAGGGTTACTAAGACCACCATATTTAAATAGGTCCTTTACCCCAAAACCTCCCAAGAATGGATAATCTAGCACTGGAAGTTGCATTGGACAGAAGTACAATGAGGAGCATTGCATCTTTATCTCAAGAGAAACTGTCCAACCTCAAATTTCCTTGTTCTGTTAAGTATTWCCAAATATATAGGCCAACAAAAGGCTTCAGAAGGAGCACAGACCAGTCTTTAATTAACAMTGCTCATGCTTCAGGTGTACAATTTCTAAAAGCCATCCTGTAGTTGTTGAACCCCTACCACAAACCTCTCACATGGATCCAAGAATATTCATTTGCAAATGGCCACAGCAGACGTTAACGCCTGATGTCTGTAGAGATAGCCAAGAATTTTGCACCTTCCTGAACATGACTCTGCAGCAGATAAATGCTGTTACAGCTCGTGGCAATGCCAGCCACAGCTAATTATAACTTTATTGAGATGTTTTGGCAACAGTCAAAGGCATTCAAGCAAACAACTTGTGATGGGGTTATCTGCCCCTGATAATACATGACTTCTGYAAATAGTCTAAATACTCTACTTCTTTCATCCTGTCTTATCCATAACACTGAGCTTTTGAGGGATACCTGGGGGAGGAGGAGGAACGGCATGCTGTTCGAAGGACATGATAAATATGCAAAGTGTTACTACGTTTAATGCACAGGCTAAATTTCTTAGGTCCTGTAAAATAAGTTTGGTTTTTTTTTTTTTTTCTCCAAAGCAATATTTGATATCAGTATCAGCTATGAATGTATGTCCAGATATTTATGGGCCTCCACTGGATATATGACACGTGCGTGATGTTATTCCTATACATAGCTAAGCTAGCAACTTTCTACACAGCATTTAGTGGATGTAGTGTATAGAAATATGATTCAGTTACCAACCAATTTCTCACTGAATCACTGAAGTTAAAATAAAAATTACTCTCTTGACCTCATGTCCACTTCCTTTAAATCCCTACAAGGGAACTCTCATTAAAGAACATCACATCTGCCACTCTTCTCAGAGTGGCTGGTTAATGTTAGTACAGAAARTAAAATTAAAAGCATGAGAAAAATAAAACCCAAAAACCGAAAAACAGAGAAGTGGTTTGCATTGCTAAACAGACTCAAGACTCTCTTGACAAAGAGCATACTTTCAAGGAAAGACACAAAAAGAAAAGATGGACAGGAAGAAAGAGACAAAGGAGACTTAAAAAGGAAASCAGTAGACACTTCAGTCTCAAACATTGCCAAATGAGAATCAAACAGTAGGCTGCTGGTAGCATGGCCAGCGTCAAGGTATAAAACGGGGATTGTCTTGTAAACAACACCGAAGAGGAACGAAGGTTGCATTATTGACTGTTATTGGAATTGATGCAACGTGCCCATCACTGAAGAATCTGACAGCAATGGCTCTAGGCCAGCAGCTTACAAGTTCTTTAACCACAAGATCACTATCGGTCCTTTCATGCATTAATGAGCGTATCAACCCCATCGCTTTTCAAACGAAAACACTACATAACATGCCCCATGGTAGCGAAGGGGATCCAGCCGGTCCCACGGACCTGGTCCCTGTGCGGGCGGGGCAGCACCGAGGGCCGGGGGCGACCGCGGCACAAGCGGCCGAGCGGCGGCACAACGGGGGCGCGCAGTTCGCCGGAGGCACATTTTAACAGGGATTATGAAACTGGTKACAAGTTGGGGCGGCCGACCCTGAGGGGCACCCAGAAAACTGCGGGGAGGCGGCGAGAGCGGCGCAGCACGCAGGGGCCGTTCCCCGCCGGGCCGCTCCCCGCCGGGCCGGCCGCCACGTCCCACCCCCCTCCCGGCCGCGGCGGGGGGCGGCCGCCCTCGGGGGCAGCGAACCAGCCCAGGCGACCGCTCCCTCTCGGCGGAGAAGACAAGCCGCGGCAGCGCCCAGAGCGGCCGCTCCCCTCCGGCYGCGCAGGGACGGGGGACACGGAGGAGGGGCGGCCGCCGGAGCCGGGGGTGTGGGGGGGTAGAAGGTCGCGGGTGTTACCTGCAGCTCCGCCCGCTCCGCCTCCCACTCGGCGCGCTCCGCCTCGAAGCGGCCCCACTCGTGCTGCAGGAAATGCAGGATGCCCGGCACGCTGTATTGAGCCCGGGACGCCGGGAGCGGCGCGGCGGCTCCGGAGGCTGAGACCCCCCCTCCTCCGCCGCCTCCTCCTGCTGCCGCTGCTGCGGCCGCCGCTGCCGCCGCCTCGCCCGGCTCCAGCCCCGGCCCGCCCGCCGGCGGCGGCAGCAGGAGGGCGTTGTTGTTGTTGTTGTTGCTGAARAAGACGCCGGGCCCCGCTTGTTCGTCCATGGCCGGGCCGGGTCCGCCTGGCTCCCCGCCGCCGCTCCCGCCGCGTCCCGGCAGCAGCAGCAGCAGCAGCAACAACCTGGGCGCGTCCCGCCCGCCGTCACCGCCTGACAGCCGCCCCCGCCCGCTGCTACGGCGGCTCGGCGGGGACAGTGCCGGGGAGCGATTCGCCCCGCCGCCCTCCCGCGGCATTCTGGGAAATGTAGTTCCGCTGGATGGCTAGGAAGATTCCCCGATGGCCGCCTTCTCCCTCTGCCGCCCGTAATTCCATGGATGGCATTCAGGCGGCTGAGCCTCTGCCTCCGGGCGGGGGCGAGTGAGCCGGTGGGAGGGGCAGAGCAGTCCCAYGCTGCAGCGAGAGTATGGGTTAATGGTCACTTGCACCTCCGAGCGGGATTTATAGGGCTTGGGGTCTGCCGCAGCCCACCTTTGGGACACGGCAAGGGCAGGTGTCTCGCAGCACTTCCACGTGCTCCGGTCGGGCCCTGCCCTTGCAGCCCCGGCTTGTCTGCTCGCTTCGTCCCTGTTGCGAGCAGCGCTCGGGTTCACACCCACAAAAGCTCTAAACCCTGCCCAAGGCTACAGGGGTTTCTTGAACATCGTTTACAATGCTGGAAAGGAGAGCGACACAACATTTTTCAGGAACTGCCTGTTCAGCGTGAAAAGGGAAAACAGGATACTGCGGGACCGAGCGCGCAAGCTGTCGGCAGCACTGCCCTGTCCCCATGGCAGGAAGGGACGAAGCTGAGCTCCCCTTTCCACGCCATGGGCGCACCAGCACCGGAGCATCAGCCTGTGCCGAGGGCTCCATCAGCCAGTGCCGAGGGCTCCATCAGCCAGTGCCGAGGAGGGCTCCGTCAGCCTGTGCCGAGGGCTCCATCAGCCAGTGCCGAGGGCTCCGTCAGCCTGTGCCGAGGGCTCCATCAGCCTGTGCCCCATCAGCCAGTGCCGAGGGCTCCATCAGCCAGTGCCGAGGGCTCCATCAGCCTGTGCCGAGGGCTCCATCAGCCAGTGCCGAGGGCTCCATCAGCCAGTGCCGAGGGCTCCATCAGCCTGTGCCGAGGGCTCCATCAGCCAGTGCCGAGGGCTCCATCAGCCAGTGCCGAGGGCTCCATCAGCCAGTGCCGAGGAGGGCTCCGTCAGCCTGTTCCGAGGGCTCCATCAGCCAGTGCCGAGGGCTCCATCAGCCTGTGCCGAGGGCCAGGCGCCAGCAGTGTGAAACACGGCGTGTGCCACCAAGGCGGCTGCCATGGTGGCTCCCCGTTCCTGCGGGCGCTGGGAACGGGCCCCGATGGTGCCACTTGTGCCACTTGTGCCCTTCGCCACGCCCCGGGCGCATCAGGAGTGCCCCGCTGCTTTCTCAAGCGCGTTTCCTGTTTCCTTGGGGCTGTTGCGAAACCACAGTCGCCTGCTTCGTAACCCTGCTCGCCGAGGTAGGGCTGACGCTGGTGGACGACTCTTTGGTWAAGAGCGCTAAGGAAGCTTACAGAGAGCATCGGAGCATCAGAGCGGAGCGAAAACACAGAACGTGATCTGGGGGACCTCGGCAAGGAACCAGCGCAGAAAGAGGCTCACCCAGAAAGGAAGGAAACAGAAGAGAGAGAGAGATGAAAGGTGTGAAAGGGAAACGGAGCAAACAGTTTCATTAAAAAGCACATTTAAAAGGCCATTGACAAAAGGATGAGAAGGACAATGACAAACAACAATAAGCATTACGGCCATTTCAAGTTACTTCAGGYTTTTTAATCAAATGGAATTTGATGCCAAAATATTGTGTAAAACCACATGATTATACCTTTTTTTTTTGTATCAGGGGCAAGCAGAGAAGCAAACGAGGACTAAACTGAGGAAGGATGWATACAAACGAGTGGTCCATGTTGTAGACAGCCACACAAAATACAAAGAAAAACCTCTCCCTTCTCTATCCTTCTACATCTTATCTAGAGCCATTTTCTCTTCTAACTTTTGTCTATTCTACTGACTTCTTAGTTATGCTTGATTGCTACAGTTCCCTCCCCCGACCCTTAGTTCTTAGTTTTCAGACATCTTGCCAACTAGAGTTTAACCAAAACTTAAAAGTGCTGAGGTAAAACTTAAGGTAAACAAAACCTGATTCTAGACAAAACCTTTCCAAGAAGACATTAATAAATAGACTACCTGGTGGAGGGGAGGGAATCGAAAACAGATTATAAACTTGTTTTCTGTTTTACTTGCAAAATGTGTGTGTTGAATTTTGAACTGGAAGAGTTTCCTTAATACTTTCAAATATTAAATGAGTTTAGAACTTCTAGGCAATATAGATTTGTTATGCTGGAATGACTTATTAGAAAGGGACATATTTCAATCAATTTAACTCCTACTATGATGAAAAAAAGTAGTGAAATTACTTTTCTTCTCATGTACAGCATATTTTTTTTACTTCTGCATCTATTTTTACTCCAGTAGGACAATGGAACAAGACTGGATTGTTAACATCTTTACAAAAAAAAAAGAAGAGATTATAGTATGCACCACGTGCTGTGTCCTCACTTTAGTACTAAAACATTCACTGTGAAATAAAAGCATTTCTAATTTTATGTTAAATATGTTGCACAAAGGAACTACCATAGGGTGAAAGAGCATTGTCTTGACCATTTTGCATAGTTACTCAAAGGGATATTAGATAAGGTCTTACAAGAAAATAGAAAGCCTAAAGGCAAGTATCTATGTAAAAATAGATCTACAAATATTTTAACCAGCTATTTAATCATATTCAATTCTATTTACTATCCCTTTGTTGTATTTGAAGTTGAAGCAGCTGAAATATGCAGTTTTTACAGAGTATACAGAGGAACATCAGAGATGAAACTCAGCAGGCCTAGTAGAGACCTCTAGTTAGGTGACTTCTCTCTATAAAGCAAAATGTATAGAAAGATCCCTATAAAAGCCCAYAAATTCAACAGCTGTGTCAAAAAATTCATGTAAGTCAGTCTTGTATAAACAGGAAAATACATGGTTCTACACTTCTGCCAATAGGAAGGGTGAGGCCTGGCAGCAGACAGACATTGCAGYCCCTGTGCACAGCAAGGTCAGCACAGCACTCGAGCCCAAAGCTCCAAAGTGCCCCTCACTCACCCAGATGTGAGGGGAGGGAGCCATGTGCTTTTGACAAAAGCCTGGGAGGGGAAGGAAAAACTGGAGGAGCCTGGCTCTCACTCGTTTCTGYCCCGAGTCAGTACAGAGCAAAGTGCCCAGTAATTCTGCTAGCAGACTTCMTCAAGGACTACAGGTGTGATATATCCAGAGACTAAAATCGAGCAGGAAGGTTAAATACCTGGGAGTCTGCACAAAGGGCAGAGCACTGACTCATCACATATTCAACCAGTGGCTGGCAGAACAGGAAGACTGCAAACACAAAACACCTTACAAGGGCCAAATCTACACTTACAAAAATGCAGATAGCAGGTAGTTCTCTTTATAAACTCAGTTTCCAGTGCATTCTTTAAAATKTATCTTAGAAGAGATAGGGGATTAGATTCTTTGCATCCTTTATTCATTTTCAAGCATGGAAACGGATTTGAAAGAGATACACACCACATAAATAAGGACAACTCATTAAGACAGCATGCTTGATCATTCACCTTAAGAAAGGCTGAAAATTTTCAATTCTTTTGCTGTGTTGGGTTTTTTTTTCATGCAAGCTGAAATGATGTACGAAGTCTGACAAACCCCTTCCCTACTTTGTTTTTAAAAGGAAAAAATTCATACTTCCACACTTGAAATTCCTCATGGTACAGTCTAAGTACTTCATAACAAGTTTTTCCTCTTCTCTCCATCCCCACTGTGTTAGTGTGTTGGCACAATGGCAGGATAACAATCASCAGATATCAAAAACCACTGGAGGGTTTGGGATAGCTTTTAAAAATAAATAAAACTATTTAGATACAGAATAATTTTTTGTGGATAATTTATAACAGAAATTCATAAATATGATCACAATTTCCTAAAAATCTATACAAACACAAGTAACACCACTTCCCTTGTAATGCATGGATTTCAAGTAATTACACAAAGCTCCTTTAGACAGCCTTTCACATTCAAATTACACAAAATTAGACATGTATGCAGGGATAATGTAATGGTTCTGACTACTTAATGGTCCAAAAATAATAAAAGAAATTCAAAAAAAGCTAGTTTTCAGTTTAATTGTCGGGGTGGAATGTACTGTGGGTGGTGGTTGCCTAGCAGCTGCTTTTGCTTTGCTGGCCTGACTTGCTCGGACTGCAGTTTCTAGACGTGTTTTCAATTCAGGAGCAGCTCCCATTACTGTCTTGAAAGCATGTGGGTAAAGTGGACCAATGTGCATGAGATTCTGAAGTGCAAACTCGTGAAGATCCTTAGATGCTGCAGACGCAGAAGCAAAGGCATTTTCATTCAGTAAATAGGAGATCAGAGTGGGAACAAGAAGAGCAAGCAACTGTACTCCTAAAAATGAAAGAAAAAAAATTAATTATCGTATCAGAGAATAAAACAAAAAAAAAACTTTATCAGTTACTACACTGATAAGGGTAATATTGTTTTCAGAACTGACACTAAAAACTGTAATAAAAATTATCAAATTAAAACAACTGAAATATACATGGTTTCTTGTGTTTTGGTCACACAAATCTTTCTTACCAGGACTGGGTTTCAGACTTCTATTATTGTTCATTACAGTTATGTTGATCCTGACACTTATTTTTGAGATGCTTTTGCACCATCTGATTGCATGKGACTGATGAAAGATCGTAAGATGTAGAGAGCCTATCATATCAAAGAATTTCATAACACTTTTCAGGCAGACAGAAATGTTATTCAATTAAATCTGAGTATCAGCCTCCCCAGCAAGCACAAGTATGCAAGTGTTCACAAAAAAGTCTGTGACAGTTATCTGCTGTGATTTATATTGATCTGGGAGATTCTAATCCAAAAAGTAGCATGGCAGCTATATTTCAGCTAGCATGAACTAGCTAATATATGAAGCATAACCTAATAAGGCCACAACCCAGAATGTCAAAGGGATCAAAAGGGTTGACCTTGGGGACAA